AAAATACGCATTTTGCTATTAACGTGACATCTGAGATCAGACACTTTAGACCGTCTGCCCTTTTCTGTTCCATTTTCTCCCTGCCTGCTTTATTAATTTTACCTTGTCATGCAGCTGCTGCTAAACCCCAGGAAGTCCAAAATTAGATCCCACTCATCTATGATCTAAATTTGGATGAGGGGACCATTGGGACAGAGATGGCAAGGGAGCTGCATTTTAGTTACTATCCTGCCTGGTATATTCTGTATTACATTGACAAAGATTGAAGTGGGGGGGGGAGTTTGCAAGGATCAGTAAGAACTTCACCTTTTTCATTGGCTGAAGCCAGTCTAGTGGGGAACTACCTTAGTTCTCATCTTGCTGGGTAGGTTCACTTCCAACCAAAGACTAATGAATATTTGGAATATTACAGTATTACCTTCTCAGCACTATCTGCTTTAGGCCTTAATAAAATCTTGGCTGAACTAAAGGAGAGGATTTGGGATCTTGATATGAAAAATCATAGGCCAACATTGTTTATATATCCTTTTAAAGCACAATCACTCTTTCTTCCTAGACTCTCTATTATATTTCTGTAACATGTTATTAATGTTTAAAGTGGCTTAAAGTGGAACACGACCTATTAGGAAAGACCTGGTAGGTGTATAAGTGCTCCATATGAAAGCTGAACTTGTTTTTGTTCAGGCTCAGAGGTAGAATCAGTCTCATGTGTGCTATTAAAATGCCTGTGACAAACCCAACAGCGATCAAGTTAAGATTTCCAATTGTTAGTAACTCTAATGGAAGCGGCTTTCTGGAGTAAATTTGTTAGATAGTTTGAAATAAAAAGCACTTGTAACCAGGTCAAGTTGGATGATTTCCCATTGCTGAAACCTAAAAGATGCAGATAAAGTTTAATCAAACACTGTTGGGTTTCTTTCTTTCTTTCTTGTTATATTTAAAAAAATAGGAAACATATATAGCATAGCATAGCTTCTGAAATTTTGTTCAATCCCCTTTCCCACAACAGCCATAGGAGGCATTATCTTTTTGGTGTGTGTTACAAAATAGGGTGGGTTAACTCTATGTATCTGCTTTACCCTAATTTTATTTTTATATTTATGTGGGCCATGAATGTACAGAATGGGTTGCAGACTGATTCTTTTTTCCTTTGCAGTTTCTTCATTTTTTTTTTCATTCCCTACATTTTTCCCTGCAATTTTCTTTAAGTTTTGGAAGTGGTTTGCCGTTTCCTGCTTCCTAGAACAGGGGTGTCCAACCCCCGGTTTGTGGACCACCATCAGTCCATGGCATGCAAGAAACTGGGCCGTACAAACAAGTGAAGCCCTATCTACAAAGTGCAGGCAGCACACGAAACCACACCCCCTCCTGTCCATGGAAAAAACTCCCTCCACGGAACAGGTCCCTGGTGCCCAAAAGGTCGGAGGCCACTATCCTAGAGAGTGGCTGGCTTTGGGTTGCCCAATTAGCCTCTAGCCTATGGCAGACTGGAACTCAAGTCTCCCAGTTTCTATTCTGATGCCTTAACCACGCCACCAAACGTCCTCCCTCTATTTTTTCTACACTTAAAGACAACCCATACATTTTAGTATCAAAATGCTATGGTAAAATATTATTTAAAAACTCAGCGGACTTTAATCCCTGTCTAGTAACATTTTCCTCATCTGCAAACTTGCAATAAAATATCTTTCTTATATTTTAAATTCCCAAATGCATGTAATTTTAGCCTTAGTAGAAATTTAATTAAATACAGGGAGATAGTAGATGTACATATCTTTACTAACCGTACAGCTATGTAATAGCAGGTAACATGAATGGTTGAAAGAATATGAAACAAAAGTTCTGCAATAGGGAGATGTGGGAAATTAGTTGCAATTTCACTTGTAGCCTGTGGCAGAATAGCCAGCTAGAGATTGCTAAAGATGCTTGAATGGAAGTACACTGTTTATAAGGGCTAAGGGCTCTTGTTCCTCTAACACAGTATAAACAGGAAAAAAAGAGAGAAAGCGTTGGAGCTTTATTATGCATCTCACTGGCTCACTCGCGTCCAGGAGTTGAGGGTCTGAGAAAAGTTAATGAACATTCAAGATGCTTAAATGAAAGAGGAAACCTAAATAATCTGAAGGAGAAAGCGTTCAAGAGTTCATTGTTGATATGTGGGCTTATGTTGAAAATAAATTAATTGGGCAGGGCCAACATTGTTCAGTCACTGAAAATATGACTCTTCTTAAACACTGTTACCCTAGTAAACATACAGTGAATTGTCTGCAACTGCATTTCTAGTCAGATTGTAATCTGTAATCCAGGATCAAGTTATTCCATGTGAGAAATCTGAGCCCTTTTGTTAGGGAGGAAAGGGAATGTAATCTTTAAAAAAAAAAATATCATAAAATCAAAGATCAATCAAGCAGTTAAAAACTACAGAACTCAATGTCCAGAAAGCAAACATTAGAACTTCCTAAGTAACCCTAATCTTTTAAAATCTTCAGTTTAGATGCCTCCCATGGACCAATGCTTTTAAATATCTATTGTTTGTAGTCCTTTGAGGCCGTCTTCCTTCTCTGTTGTACAACTACTTCTGAACATTAAGTTTTTTTAAAAAATGCAAATGTCTTATGTGTTATGTTCATAGAATACAAGTCCTTCGTTAAATTCCACCTCGCTCATCAGACTGAGATTCAGAACCCATTCATGTAACTAACACTTATGATGAAAAATCAAGAGCTTTTTTGGTGTGATTTTAGATTTTTCACCATTGTGATTTAACCTAAATTTTGAAGAACTTCCCAAACATGGCACCATTCTAGTCTTCTCCATATATAAAATGATTCAAACGAGAGGTTACCATATAATATGGCATAATACATGCAGGTCTACTCTTGGAAGATTCAGTTTGTATTCAATGTAAGATGTACATTTTACTTCAGATAAATGATCATATGATGTCCTGGGAAAGGACTCCCTTGAAGGCAGAGGAGAGCATACGAAAATCATTCTAGAAGTCTGCTGAGCAGCTCTCGTTTCACCAAGGCCCTTAATGCCAACTATCCTGTTTAAAGCAGCTGTCTCCAACCTTGGCAACTTTAAGACTTGTGGACTTCAACTCCCAGAATTCCTCAGTCAGATTTGTTTTGCTGGCTGAGGAACAGCTCAGAAGCCTGAGGAACAGCTGAGCCAGATTTGCTGGCTGGGGAACTCTGGGAGTTGAAGTCCACAAGTCTTAAAGTTGCCAAGGTTTGGAGACCCCTGGTCTACAGGATCTGTGAAGAAAGATGGAAGAAGGCACATGACAATCACCACAGAATTCTCCTGTAGTGGAAAGCCTTTACCTCAATTGATTTTCAAGGGCCTATTGAGATTATGTTTACTATTGAGATCAGTTGAAAAATGTTCATCTAATGATCCAAAATTCATGTTTTCAAATGTCTGTATCACATTCTAATCTAGAATTCTTCAGGCTGCTTTTATATGTAAGATTTATTGTTTGCTGAAATATATTCAGGTTTCTCATCCATCCTATTACGTTGTTATTTGACTACAGCAATTATTGCCCAACTAAAGCAAATATAAAAGGCTTAAGTAAACCAAATAAAATGTCAAACTTCCTAGGAAGATACCGACAGGAAAATGAGGTGAGCAGAAAAAATCTATACTATTGTAAACAAGTTCCATTCTTATTCTAGTAATCTGATTAAGTTTGGGGACAAAGGAAATTTTTTACTATTATCAGTAAAACAAAAAGTCCCCCGAATTGAGGTTATACACTCTTCCATGTAGGACAATAATATATTGACTTGGAACTGTCAAGGCTTTAAAAAAATGTCTCCTCAAAAACTTATGCATGTGTTTGCACTATTTTTCTGCAAAGCATGTATGATTTTAATCCACAGTATTTATACACAGTTCACTCTCTGAAGATGCCAGCTGGGATCCCACAATTTGAACACTCAGATAGTACAATACAGGTAGTCTTTGCTTAATGATCCCTTGTTTGGAGACCTTTCAAAGTTACCACAGCATTAAATGAGATGACTGGTCCTCGTAGTTGCACCCACTGCAACGTCCCTGCAGTCACGCCATGATGGTTTGGGCATTTGACACTCAGTTCACAATTACGATGGTTGCAGTGTCCCAGAGTCCTGTGATCACCATTTGTAACCTTCACTGCCAGATTCTGACAAGCAAAGTCAATGGGGAAGCCGTTCAGGCAGTCACAAATCGCAATCATATGCAATTAATGGCCATGCATAATTTAATGACAGCAACCTGAACGTCACAACTGCTGTCATAAATTGGTGCAGTCACGTGATGTCATCCTTTATGACCACATTGACATAACTGCCACTCCCAATTGCTATTATTAAACAAAGACTACCTGTACTAAACTCTTCATATTCAAAAGGCATGAAGTACCCCATTGCTGAAATATAGTCTCTATGTAACAGCCTTTGCCTCACATTAGCACCTATAAGCATTTGATTCTCAATAATCTCACTTTTTCACTTCAGGATATAAACATTATCCTCAGGTATGCAAAACTTGAAATGAACAGAACAGAATAAAGTTGCTTCCAATTTGGAAACATCAGGAAACACTTCTGAAGACTCTTCTTGCAAAACAGGGATTTGCTAAGTTCCTTTATCCAAAGCTATGGAAGTTTGAGCAAAGATGTTTAATATTCTTTCAGGGGTATGCCATATCAGAACCAAAGATGCAACAAAAAAGGCTAGGGTGATCTGGTTAGTTAAAAAACAAGCTAATAGTCACTTTGTGTGCCATTGGCCAGGGCCAACACAAAATAATGATTAAGAAGACTAATCGAAATATTAAAACTACAGTAACTAGAAAAAAAATAGATATTCACCTTTTTCCAAGAAAGGCGATACTAGGTCAGGAGAAGCTGATTATTGGTCACAGAAAAGAATATAGTAGTAGATAACTAAGTGACTTCCACTATAAGAATGCAACTAGAATGCAAGATAAGGTCACACAACAGAAGGTCAAAATGACTAACCAGTTTTATTTACAACACCCCTTAAAGACAGACACAATTCAAAGGGGGACATAACAAAGGGAAAGAAACAGCCACCATGCCCTTGCCTACCTATTTTAGGTAGGGTCCCCAACACCAATGCCTGGGCTAGACACAAGCATGGGTACTTCTGCCACTTGCTTGTGAACAGCACACACTAAGGCTGACCCCAGCCCTGCTGGGGCACGGGGGCTGGGCTCTGGGGCTAGCTCAGAAATGCCACCTCCCCCCCCCCCCCCCCCCGGCTGGGGCTGCTAGTCAAGGTGTAAAAACCACAGAATCTGGTGCATCTTTTCAGCACATGGTAAGGGAGACCAGTCAGATTTATCCAGATACAGTTGAATCACAAAAAGTTTGCACTTGGGAAACTGTCCTGGGCTTGACGCTTCTATTTTTCAGTTCTTCTTCATCATCACTGTACCAACGGGCTGAGCAATACTGTTCCATTCTTCAGACCAAAAGCTCAAGTATTAGCAGTCTAAAATCTCCTGGTTTGTATTGGCAGAGTAGACTACATAACCACAGCTGCTTCTTTCCCATCAGCCTCTCAGCTTTTCCCTAAGAAGAGCTGGGTTTGGAGAGGACTTTAGGGAGAGTCTAGGTCTGGTGTTTCCCAATGCTTCTGTCTTATTTCACATGTAGACAGACAGGACACATGCCAGCCACTTGGCTATTGTCAGATTAAAATGTCATTTACTAAGGAAAAGGAACTCCTGGGCTCAATTCTAGAATGAAGACAAGCAGCCCAGGCCAGGGAATGCTGAGAAGAAGAGGCAGAAAGCCAATCCTTCCTAGGAAATAGGAGGAAACCAACACAAAGTTATCAAATTCATGTACCAGTGGCCACATGCCAGCATTGGGGCTGGGCCAGCCCAAGTCACTTTAGGATTTCTTAGAGTCCTGTGTGTTCCGTCGCTTTAGGTCGCTCAAGTCAACAGGCTTGAATGCTGTCAAAAAAATAAAAGAAAATTTAGGATAACATTCCAGATTCCCCATGTTATTTTCTTCAATATTCCTACTGACTTTAGCAAGAACAACATTGCTACGGTGGATTCCATACCATCACCTAATTAATAATACTTTAAATTCTGTTTTGGGCTATAGATAACTGAGACATCTAATTAAAATATGTGTATGCTCCACTATATGTTCTATACACAGTATAAGAATCCATAGCTATCTTCACAACAATGCAACCAAATATATTTCTAAAGAGCTGAAAATTCTACCTAGGAATCATAATCTAAACCATGCAACTAGAAAATCTCTAACATAAAACAGAGCAAGGTTAAATGCAGTGTCTTTAAAATGTATATCTGAA